ACAGTAATCTTGTGACTAGCGTGGTGAGGAGGTGGGGTGAAGGAGGAAAGACAGCATCTGTCTTTAATGCTTCAGACTTCCTGGATTCCTTGCAAGTCGCAAGATTACAGTCGCGTACTGTACATACTTCACTGAACAAACAGTTTAGACTAATATTGGCAGTTTATGATTTTTGTAGCATTTGTAGTACATCTTCCGCTAAATTCTGGTTGTGTAATGGGATTTGGTAAAAGACAATTCTAATAATGTAATAGCAATTGACATCATGTACACCTTGCTTTCAAAGTCATTCTTATTTATTTATAGTCTATTTAACAACACTTTCTAGTAGCATCAAGTCAGTCTTCTTCTTATTATTTTTATCATAATTTTCTTTAACAGAGTCCTGTGAATGAACATCAGCTTAAACATGAAGGGCGTTCATTTTCCTGTAATGTGTGCAACAAATCATTCAGTCTGAATAGTGGTCTGAAGAGACATAAACGCATACACAGTGGTGAGCGTCCTTATACCTGTGATGTTTGCAAAAAATCATTTGGGCGGAGGAGTGATCTGAAGAGACATCAGCACATACACATTGCAGAGCGTCCTTATACCTGTGATGTGTGCAATAAATCATTCAGTGAAAGGGAACACCTGAAAACACATCTGCGCATACATAGTGGGGACCGGCCACATTCTTGTGGCGTGTGTAACAAATCATTCAGTACAAAGAGAGTTCTGAAAATACATCTGCGCATACACAGTGGTGAGCAGCCTTATTTCTGTGATGTATGCCATAAATCATTCAGTACTGGGGAACAGCTGAAAAAACATCAATATATACATAGTGGAGACCGTCCATTTGCATGTGATGCATGTAATACATCATTCAGTCAGAAGAGTCATTTGAAGATACATCAACGCATACACAGTGGTGAGCGTCCTTATACCTGTGATGTGTGCAATAAATCATTCAGCAGAAAAGGGGATCTGACGATACATCAACGCATACACAGTAGTGAGCGTCCTTATTCCTGTGACGTGTGCAATAGGTCATTCAATAGGAAGGGGGACCTGAAAACACATCAGCGTATACACAGTGGTGTGCGTCTGTATTCCTGTGTTGTGTGTAATAAGTCATTCAGTCGGAAGAGTCATTTGAAGGAACATCAACGCATACATACTGGAGAATGTCCATATTCGTGTGATGTGTGTAATAAATCATTTGGGCGGAGGAGTGTTCTGAAGAGACATCTACTCATGCATAGTGAAGAAGGCTCCAATGTCTTGTGATATAATTAATAATTCAATTGGAGTAATTGTCCGAAGAGACGTTAAAGCATCATGATCTGAATAATCATCGGTGATGTATAGTATGTGGTGTGAATGGAGAAATGTGTTGCAGCAAAGAAGAAAGGTTTGGTTAAAAAACTAGTGAAACTGAAGTGCTTTAAGGATTCTAGCAAGACTTACATTAGTTTTTATGAACACACTTGTGTAAAAATAGATTTCTTGAGTTTAGATGATTTTTTACAGAAAAAGTATTTTTTAATGGCTGATCAGTATGTTGTGTTATAAAAGGCTTCACCATTTCAGTCTCCCGAGTTATGTGTAGAAAGAAGGAATTAGAAGTGTGTGAAGCATCTCGTGTCTGACCAGCCACTGACCAAAAATAAGAGATTTTTGAGCCTGCATCCAGTGAACAGGTTCTTATTCAACATTGTTCTTTTTTTACATTAATGAATCAACAAAATTAAATAAGTCATAATCACCCTTCATTATGTTTTGTCCAACTTGTGTTAATTCTATTCAGATTTGCAGAGCTATTCAGTTTCACAATTTATTCTAAAGAATTAAATTTTGTGTGACGTCCACTGTGTATATATTGGTGTGGTCATAACTCCTGTCTAAAAAAATTCTATGGGAAGACTGACCACCTCGCCTTTTTCGTCTTCACTCTCCTTTTACCTTATTATGAGCAAGACTGTGGCAGTGAAGGCGTTTCTGGTTTGTAGGAAATATCACTT